ATTCACCAACACCAAGTAATTGGCAAAAAGACATTTTCAATATGGCTGCCATATCAACTGGCCCTGTCATGTTTCAATTAGATCTGAGGTCTGTGGCTAAGTTTCATAACCCTGTTGACATTATCAACTTTTAAACTAAAGAGCACCTTGATCTGAACTTTCAGAGAAGACGTCGAACATATAATACTTCACCAGTCTGGTTTCCAAGTATTATTCCCTTGGGTCCAGTAAGCTTATGTGTCAAACTATGGGAAAGGATACTGAATAAAAGTTCCGACTTGAAGACAGAAGTGTTTGACATACACAGTCCTCAACTACTTTGTTTTTTATTCAAAACTTAAGCTCATAGATCTTGCATTCTGCTACAAAATGGACATTAAACATCCGAAGTGTGACAAAGCTGTTATCCACAGCAACACCGTTAAGTAACCATGATGTGGAATACATTTGAGAAGTGACCCCATGGAGTTATGTAACAGACTTCAGCTGAGCTCCCTCTGTAGTGACAAGTCCTGGTTGTTAATAGAGAAGATGATTTCCCACTGGTCTCGTATAGGGAAACTGACACAGAAGCATTAGCCTTAGGGCAGAGTGAACTCTGTTAAACAGCTTGCTTGTAGATCCTCCTCTTGGACATACTGGAGGTGAAACATTCCAGAATATTCTACTTATCCATCAACATTGATGTGCATGTAGCTGCTTGTATCAGGGCTTATGCCTGTTTTATAGTGCTAACTCAGTTAGATACCAAGGTGTCAGATGCATTTTATTGATTCCATGCTGACCGTTCCATGTATTCATGTCCTTAATGCCAAGCGCCAGACAGGGAAACAAAAAGTACCATTTTTTAACGTCTGTTGGTATGATGTCCCCTGGGAAATGACCTTCTACTTTCAGGGCAGACACTGTATCCACTAAACCATGGGAATGTGTGAGTGAGTGAGTGAGTATGGTTTTACACTGCTTTTAGCAATATTCCAGCAATATCATGGCAGGGGATACCAGAAATGGGCTTCACACATTGTACCCATGCAGGGAATCAAACCTAGGTCTTTGGCATGACGACGAGTGAATGCTTCAACAACCCGGCTACCCCACTGCCCCTAAACCATGGGAACATTCCAGACTGGAGCCTGGGCTCATCTGATGTGAAAGATGCAGAATGTTGTGGGATGGACATTTACCAGATGATACAGGACTGTTGTTGAAGTCAAGTTGTGACAGCAACACAATGTGTGTTCCAGTGCTGTGTTCTATGTGCACAAGTGACTGACCCTGGGGATACAGGACTACTGGATCCACGGTACGATTAGATGTTAAATGAAATCAACAAAACCCTCCTTCATTACCACCAACCCACTCAGATAATGTTCCCATTTCTTTAGGACAATGCACACAGTCCTTCTCACTTTCATGTTTGAATAGAGTTAAGCTTCATCAAGTTCATTGTAAACCAGTATATGTATCAGAACTGTCAGATGTGATATTTATTCAGAATCACTTAATGTGTGGATGAATGCCAGTATTAAGTCTTAATCCTGCAGTTTCATAGGTTGAAATGAATATGTCAACAGATATTTGTCCTCAAAAGCCATTCAGTTGAAGTCTGTTTACTCAGTTGATTAAAGCCCCATTGGTGGATTAATTATGTAAAGGTACTCTGAGAAAAACACATGTCATATTCAGTTTAATCCAAATCTGGTTTTCTCTACCTTCTTGAGGTTTGCAAAAAAAGACTGAAAGATACACCATTTTGAATTTCTTTGGAGTTTATTTCAGAAAAAATATTTGACATTTTGGCAGCACATAGAGCACATGGATGTTTACATCACAGCGTTAAGTTAAATGTCAATTTTCATAAATTTTCGAGGAAATACAAAATAAGAAATGTCTCATAACCGAATCATGGAATTCTCAACAGTTGGAATAGTATCCACAATAACGTAACTTCAATATGACAGCTAAATATCTTTTTTCCAACTTTGTAACTATTTTGAATTTGGAAGTGTTTCTTTATTTTTGAAATACAAGAGAATACTTGATTTAACATTACAAATTATGCAAAATTCATAAAAGACCAACAAATAATGAATTCAAAACTGTTTCATGTTTATAACAATGATAATAGTTTTGTGTGGAAAGTTCCTTACACAAAATAACAAAGAATAAAGATGTAAAAAACAATGTAAACATATGGAAAATATTTCTGCTATGATTATTAATATATCTTTTGGTTTATCCCAATAAGTCACAAAGCAAAAGCAGGAGGCAAATGTGGTATATTTGTATCATCATAAGCTATAAACAATAAAGCAATGATACTCAAAAAGAATTATCATAAGCATGATAATAGCAACATTAAATAACAGTACACACATCGCCACCAAACTCGAACAGTTACATACAATACTTGGCAACATTAGCTGTGAAGCTGAGGGTTAATGTTGACACTGTGATAGCTGGCCCTGACTGAGTATTTGTTTATCAATAATTAGGCGTAGGACTATATTGGTTGTATGTCAGTATCAGTATGTCAATATTACACCTGTGAGTGAGTGAGTTTGGGTTTACACCGCTCTTAGCAATATTCCAGCAATATCATGGCGGGGGGACACCAGAAACGGGCTTCAAACAATGTACCCATATGGGGACTCAAACCCGTGTCCTCGGTGTGACGAGCGAACGCTTAAACCACTAGGCTACCCCACTGCCCCTATTACACCTATGCCATAGCTGTCTTGATGAGCCTGGATGTAGGACACATTTTCAGAAGGATCTTCATGCTATTACGTTTGTATGACAGACCAACAACAGTCATAATGGCTGATAATTTGTGGAATTGAAGCTAGACAAACCGGAAACCAGTGGTCTCTGGGCCAAGCACAATCATATAGACACACATTGTAGATGCAACATCCACAGTTTGATGATTACTGAGATATGACTGACTGACTGAGTTCGGTTTTACGCTGCTTTTAGCAATATTCCAGCAACATCACGGCGGGGAACACCACGGAATGGGCTTCTACACATTGTACCCATGTGGGGATTGAACCCGGTCTTCGCAATCATTTAACACACTTTGTAACCACTAGGCTACCCCACCGCCTCACTGAGATATGAATGGTATGAAGGACATATTGTTCAGTTTTGTTCTCTTGTCTAGAATTCAATCTGATGAACTGATGATAATCAAAATGTTTTGCAGAAGCTGATTTCAACATTCCTGCACATTCAGACAAACATACCACATATTCCCTATGATGGTAGTGTACAATTCAGATCTCCTGTATGAAGACCAGATATTTGAACTAGAAGGCTATCCAATCACCATCCAGTGTATGAGTGAGTAAGTAAGTATGGTTTTATGCCGCTTTTAGCAATATTCCAGCAACATCATGGAGGTGAACTCCAGAAATGGGCTTCACACATTGTACCCATGTGGGGAATCGAAGCCGGGTCTTCAGTGTGACAAGCAGACGAATTTAACCATAAGGCTCCCCCACCAACCCTCCAGTGTATGGCTTTTGACACATTGCAGTCACACCCATATATTGGTGATCTCTGTGCTAGGTTTAATGAAGACATCTTGTTGGTCACAAACACTCCATACTTCTGGGTGCAAATCCTTGGTCTTGTTGGAAACACAAGAACACTTGAAATATCTTTATGGAGGGAGCAGTGAAAAGGGTCTCACTCATGATTATGGCACTTATATACTAACGCGCATGCATGTGCGTATGTGGCTTTTCGTACTGAAGATGCCATTAACCTGGTTTTATAGTCCTCTGATCAGCCATGCTCCAATTTAACGTGAATGTCCCACTCAAACTATTATAAAGCTGTAACCAGGATATGTCCCACTCAGACTATTATAAAGCTATAACCAGGATATGTATAACACCCAGACACCCTCAGGTAACAGAGCTCCTAAGCCAGCAGTCCTTGTTCTATCCCTAGTTGCCAAGCACCAGGTCGGGTATCAAGTACCATTTGTTAACATCTTTTGGTATGACACCAGGTGATCGAACCAACGACCTCGTAAATGCTCTTTCCACTGCGCCACGAGGGTGGCTATCAGTTTATGAAATTTGAAACAGCATCATAAACATATTGCTGAGATGAGTATACTTTCTACCTCTACCAGGTATAGTAGATAATAAACTCATGCAATTAATATGTCAGTTTGTTAATTTTATACAAAGCTATAAAAGAAGCAATACATGTTTTTTGTTCTTTGTTTAACGCCACACTCAGCAATATTCCAGCAATATTCCAGCAATATATGAGTCAATCATATAGCTGGACTTGCCACTAATCTGGTACTGTAGCCAGTCAGTCCCATTCATATTCTGATACAACAATTTTCTGCACCTTTGTGGGAGGTTGTGTGACATTAACTTTCTTTTCAGCCAATAAGCCTCAATGCTCCTAACTTCTCACTATAAGTGATGGAAGCATTCAGACCAGCATATATGATTTCAGTATCTAAAAAAACTGAACAAAAACGACAAATTTTGAAAGTAAAACTCATTGTGGATGTTTCAAACATCTTGTCATTTGTGAGCTCCATCGCACATGCATCCAAAAGACAGTACCCCACAGAAAGATCAGCGTTCAGGTGCACAAATAAAAATTAGCAAAGGTTGTTAACAAATGAAGCTGAAGTGTTTTTGAAAGCTGAAAACTGATTGGCGAAACTTACTATGCAATTCTCATTCAATTTGGGCGGCAAAGCTCACTGAAAATAATTTGATCTCTCTGACATAAATGATTTAAAACAGGTACAGTATTTCATCTGTTGAATGCACACACATCAGAGAATTCTGCACATTTTTCACATGCAGTCTGCTTCATTTCAGTACAGTCCTCTTGTGTTGCCGCTTACTGAAATCCAACCGTAGAATCTCAAAGTTTATTAGAGAGAGGAGGGAGATAGACACAGAATGACCACAGCCGTCACAACAGTTGCTTATTGAGAATATCAGTGTTTCAAATACCTTGCCCACGGTTTGACTTCTGTGCTTGTTTTCCCATTTGGGGAACTCACATCAAAGTCCTGAGATAAGGCATCTGTGAAAGACTCGGTAAAAGATTCATACCTTGGAGACCCTGGAAAAGAATGGTCAAGAGATTGTTTCTTTTACTAAGTTATGGTCATATACTCTATCAGCATCATGACATAAGAATGGGCATCTATTTGAAACAAATTAACGTTAAAACACCATATGTAACAAAGAAACATTCCACTACACTCCTGAAAGTGTGTGTGTAAACAAAGGGAGATAATAACCCAAATGAACAAAAACTTATCTCCCCTTAGAGCATGATGTGGTCAAGAATTAGAAATATATTTGTTCTTTGTTTATATTTTATTGATGATTTTTTAAAGGATATCTGAGCACATTCTCACTCACAAATACATGATTAATAGAAATGATATTTTTCATTCCATTTTGAACTTACCAAAGACTTCGTCCCCGTCATCGCTACAATCATAGAACTCGTCATCATCAGTGTCATAAATTCGTATAGATGACTTGTGACTACCAATAGACTTCTCTAACTCATGATGTTCTGTGGCAAGAGCATGCAGTGCTTCTTGTAACACACGACTTTTCTCCATTTCTTCTTTTAGTTGCAACTGCCTGATCTGCAAAACAGAAAAGTGTTAAATTGCAGTTCAAAAATATTACAGTCAAGTACCATCGTGTAAAAGTTGAACGGACCTTGGTAAATACTGGAGTTATCTAAGGTTAACACAACTGAAAAATACATGAATAAAGATAGAATCCGAAGGAACCAAGCTCTTACTTCAAGACAGACATAAGGTCAACTCAATAAAGTTTGAGACCACAGTGTTTGACTGTAATTCCATCAGCTTTTGGGTCAGCTAGAAAACAGGTCTGCAGGTTTTCAGAATTACAGTTCAAGTCAATAAATAAAACCTCTTATTCTTATTTCATCATCCTGAAAATGAACAGCCTTTCATTTCCCAGGTCAAGGAACGAAATGTGTAATGTTTAAATGCTGTCAACTTGACACACTTAATAGATTTGCTGTACTATTGCCACATACACTATTGCAAATGCTCACGTGTGTTTAACACGGTAAAGTATGAAAAATATTCATGATTGTCCAGTCCACCTGATAGCATTGACAGCTTTAAGCCCCAAGGTTATTCCAGGTAATCACAGCTCCATAGCAACAACCTGAACCCAAACAATAAACAAACAGTGGTGTACTGGCTGTGCAGCCATGTTGTGGTCTAGGGGAGGTAACTCTATTTGTTTCATGGTGCAAGGTACTTCAGGGTCCATTGCACCAAATCAGAATCAGGTGATCACCAGTAGTTAAAGTTAAGTTTAAACTCTGAGAGGCCTGTCAGTGCTGTCATTGGATGATCATATGGCAGCTGTCCTTGGATGATTATGTGCAAGATATTTTAATTTTACAAAAAATGTATATTGATTCAGTAAAAAAATGAACAGGTTTTATAGTTTTGTCAACGCGTGGATATGCGTCGACTGGGTACAAGTGTACATACAATACGTTGACAAGACGAAGGAATACGATGAGCTCAAACTTCTTTAGTTACATGACAAACAAATACACCAGACATAAATGAGGTGAGCAGAATTCCTGCTCAACCCCAGGGCGTTTCCTACGAGCGACATTATCCTGCTCGTGGTCGTCCCAACACACAGACAGTCGACATCCCAGACTCGTACCCTTCACAGTCTAGAAGTGAGCATACTAAGTATATATACAGTTTTTGACAACAATGGACAGGCCACGACTCAATGGACAGACAGAAAAACAATAGCACTTACTTCACCAGTTGATGTGATGGCAGACACGGCCAAGGGAGATTACCAATGAAGGTTATAAATGTCTTATACAATAATTAATTGCCTGACAAGTCAATGTACGATGTGGTAGTGATAAGGATGTACAGTAGTGATTAAGAATACAGGTTAGCTTCATATATATATATTACAATAAAGTCTCACATGTCTTGACAACATAGTTTCGGACTTTTTAAATATTTGGACGATGGCTGTCCTGAATTAGTCACTATTACAGTTCAATATAGCTGAATTTTTTAAATATGATGAATTATGTTGAATGTTATCAGACATGTTTTGAAGTGGGTGACATCTGGTGCAGGACTGGGGTTGATGTGTTTAGCTTTAACTGGTTAAGCTGGTATTTTTTTGGAGCTTTTATCGCTCCTTTACAGCCAGACTATGCATACATGTACATGTACCTACTTGTTTTGAAAAATATTATATGTTACTGCAGAAGTCTCATTGATGCAGACAAACCTAGAAACATAATCAAGGCAAAGTGGGATTTGAAATCAATATCACAGGTTTCTGGTTTGCCAAAGGGACGCAACTCTGGACTGTGAATTGTGCACCTGTGCCAACATAGGTATGGAAAAAATATAGATCAACGAGTTAAACTGACCGATTTTTCAATTTATAGGTTTCAAATATAATGTTGACTTGCTTTCAATAACATTATAAGGTTTCTAATCTGTGCTGAAAGCCGCTGAACAGAAAACACAGGTTCACAATTATGACTGCATCACAGGTGAGTCTATCATTTCCAGGAAAATACTTTTTTTTAGTCTTTGTGATAGACATTTTGAAATCATGTATGTATATATGTGAGACAAGTACATTGATGTATAGTTACAGTGTTCCATGATTTAAAGCATTGTACTTCAATCAATGTCAGTGTTTTTCTAAATTCTGATCAATCGGATCAAAATATTAGAAGAATCCATGCCATCTGGTTCGCCCCATCTGCTCGTATCTACTTTGGAATGGAGACATGTGAAGATGCGGGTTAGAATTTGTCTTCAGCAACCCATGTGTAAGAGGCGACAAACGGGATTGGGTGGTCAGGCTCGCTGACTTGGTTCACACATGTCATCTTATCCCAATTGCTTAGATCGATGCTCATGCTGTTGACCACTGGATTGTCTTGTCCAGACTCGATTATTTACAGACCGCCGCCATATAGCTGGAATTCTGCTGAATGAGGCATTACACAACAAACAAACAATGGTTGGAATGGAGAATACTGTGTTCACAAAGTAGTGCTATGTTTTCAGTTCACAGTTTAATTCCATAAGGTTAAATGTAACCTAGCATTTAGAACAAATTTCAGGGAGAAAAACGGAAAAAATCCCATGACAATAATTCTTTCAATAATTTTCCTAAAGTCCTTAGCTGTGTACATAAACAAAGTATATTGATGGTGATATATTAGACTCAATGAGGAAGGGTTCCAAGGATAAAGGAAGGATTTATTTCACAAATTATCTCAAACTTGACCTGTGTCCTTGACCCAACTGAGTCAAAATGAATGATAAAGTTTAGAAGTCATAGAGTGATTGAAGAAGCATGTAACTACAATCTTCTTTCATTATTTATCATAAACTGATGTTATACAACGGAAACTGATTTTCCATTCTTTTAGAAACAAAACTTTAAACTGAATAATTTAAAAAAATTAAGTGTTATGTTGACAACATTAGAATATTGACTGATTTCTCAAGGGAAAAAGCAGTTGCTTGTACAGATTTGTACAATGTTGACAAAGTATTGTATAGTCACATAACAGAACAGCTGTCTACTAATGCAAGTAAAAAGAGTGAGTGAGTGAGTTTAGTTTTATGCCGCTTTTAGCAATATTCCAGTAATATCACAGCAGGGGACACCGGAAATAGGTTTCACACATTGTGCCCATGTGGGGAATCGAACCTGAGTCTTCAGTGTGACGAGCTAACACCTTAACCACTAGGCTAACAACCTCCCCTCAAGTGGAAGAAATGAAGGTCACTGACACAGGTGGGAATTCGGTGTCAGATGTAATGAACCTTGAACTTGGTGATGTATCGATGTATGAAATACTGTACAACACCACATCAAACATTAGCGGACATTAATCTGATCTACGTCACTCTGACACGAATAAAATTTTGATAAGCATCTACTGAGACATATCACTAGGGTACCTGATGTGTTTAGATATTAAACGTTATGAGAAGTTAAAGCTTCGTTATTACACATACATAGTGATAAAGTGCCAATCCCCTGTGCAAATATTGAGCCAGGTGGCATAAATCTATCCCAGAGCATAAAACTGAAGGTCATTTGGTGTTTTCAGAGAACCTCACCTCCAAAACAGTTTGATATACTGCAGTTCACTCTCACAATAACAATAGTATTTGTCAGTTCCATCAACTGAGGGAATTACAATCTGTTTCATTGTGACATGCTTAGCATCATGAGGTGTTTTGATAAGAAACTGGACATGAGCATATTGTGCAGGTGGGCCTGAGCTATTAACATTTATGGATCTATAATCAGCCGACTGTGTGGCAAGGTATTTGAAAGGCCAGGAATGATTTACAACAAGGAACAGCTGGTGGCGGGATACAGTCTGACTAACTCTATATTGATATACAGAGGGATTTTATACTTTATCAGCATTATTTCTTATGTATGACAGAATACATCACTGAAAATGTGAGACTGACCATTTTAGAGGTCTTGACAGCGTTTGGGACATAAAAAATCAAAATTATTTCTGAAAGTATTGATTTTGATATTTTAAGCAGGACATGTCTGAAAAAATTGTGTTTTAAAAACATCATAAAATTCCTAGAATAATTAAATGTTTACCATAGTGATCAATATTCCAGCCATATTATGACACCTACCTGTCCAACACAATAATAATAATAATATAATAATAGTGGGTATTTGAAAAGCGCCAGTGTCCACCCACTCATGCATGTTTATGGCGCAAACATTAATAGCACAAGGAATTATAACCCAGCTCCAGGTAAATTTAAATTCAAAGATATACTTATCTATTGATGTAAGAAAGGAATGGTGGGGCATGGTGGGGTCTGTCGGTGCATATAATACATCATACCCAACACGTGTGGGTGACTGTGTGTGCGTGCATGTGTGTCACACCTCCCCCATACCCAACACACGTGTGGGTGACTGTGCGTGCGTGCATGTGCATGTGCATGTGTGTCACACCTTCCCCATATCCAACACTGTAAGTGAATCAGTTCCTGTTGTTTCCACATCACTATCAGTAACTAATTCTGGCTGTACCAAAGATACCAGTTGTTCAAAGCGGAAAAGACGATCAACACAACTGGGTCACACTGACATGGCTTACAATGTCATAGTAATCAAACGGTCATTAAATACATTTGGAGTGGAATTAATCTTTCCAAAATTGAGCTGGGGTATTCGATTTTCTTAAAATTCATTCCATGACAAGTCATCAGCACACAGAATATTGTGTTGGTTATATAATATAATGTTTAGGTCAGGATTGGTTTAATTGATCAATAATACAAACATTTTCATATCATAAAACACTAGGGACATTCTTGATTTAACAAGTGAGTAGAGTTTTTGTACTAACCTGTCACAAACTCTAAACAAATTAAATATCTAACCTCAAATGTGATTTTTTTTTTTATCTCAAAGTTTAGTACCAAGTAGCTCTAGAAATGTTTAATTGATTTGTCTGTTGAGTATGGTTGACATTCAACCGAACTGTATTCATCAAATCATAAAATCCATAAGAACGTTAAATATTTGACACCAA